GTAAAAAACTAAGCATCTTCTCACCAGAGTTCTCAGAGACCACCTGTCTGGTAACACTCGGACATCAGAACTCCAAGTCCTTTGGACTCTGGGACTTATACCTACTACCCTCCTAGATTCTTAGGCCTTTGGTGTTGGACTGACATTACACCATTGCCTTGCTTGGTTCCTCAGCCACAGTACAGCCTCCATAATCATGGGAGCCAATTCCTGCAATAATTTCTCACTTATCTATCACCCACCCTCCCATCAATCCATCTGATGGGTTCTGCCTCTCTGGAGAACTGTATTCCAAAGTCCTAACTCACTGTACCTCAAAATGTGACTGTATTTGGAGATAGGAACTTTAACGAGGTAAAGTAAAATGAGGCTACATGGGTGGGCCCTAATTCAATGTAACTGGGCACAGACACACACAAATCAAGATATAGCCAGATAAGGTGGCCATCTACAAGCCAAGGGGAGAGGCCTCAGAAGAAATCACTCACACCCTGATCTCAGACTTGTTATTTCCAGAACTGTGAGGAAATAAAAATACTTTTTCTCCCCCCAATGCTGAGAGTGGAACTCAGGGCCTCGCACATGGAGTTTTACCACTAAAATACATCCTCAGCCCATAAATTTCTGTTTGAACCCTGCAGTTTGCAGTATTTGGTGACAGCAGTCCTAGCAAACATTGTACAGTGTGCAATGGAAGTGTACTTGGGGCTATCCCCAAAAATGCATAGGCCTGAGGCAATAGTTTCAGTGAGGCCAGTGAGGCTATGGATCTGCAGGTCCAGATACTCTAAAAATATTTGTGCTGTTGTGAGTTTTTTCCAAATTCCTAAAGCTCTAAAATTAAAAGCAGGGGTTTTCGTAGGTTGAGTCAGAACCTCCATTTCCTTCTCTGTGCACTCAGCTCTCTACATATTTCACTTAGCAGCTTAGCTTAGACTAGGATCTGGTAACCCTCTTGCTAGTATATGGTCTGAGTAGTTTGACTTTGAGGATAGTGGATGGTACTGGCAGGGGAATTGGGGGATGCTGTCATCAGGAGTTCCTAAAAGTTGAAATGTCAAATCCTTGTTGAAACAATTCCAGGAATGGGGGTAGGGAGGATAAAAGAGAATAATGGAGGGGGTGAATTCAACTATGATACATTGTAAGAACTTTAACAAAACGTCAAATCCTATCAACAGGTAATCTACTGCATGCAGCTCTCTGCATGCATGCTTTATTTCTTACAAAGAAGATCCTGCTTCTCCTAGTACAAGATGAGAGGATGTTGGTGTGTAGAAGATAAAACAATGAATATGAATTGTGTAAGGTGAGTGATGGAAAAAGAGCTTCATTGTATTAATCTTTACTTTTATAAATGTTTTAAACAGTCCATAAAAAACACATGCTTTTGAAAACAAGGACAAACTTTTGGAGGATGATAGGGATGAAAATAATTACTTTGCAAACAAGAGAACAAAAATCAACTATTCATCTTTCTTTGCCATAGAAACCATACCTTAGAATACCAACTAGAGGGTGCTGGGAAGTTTCTCTTGGATAGAAGCAATCCAACAAATACTGGCAAAAGGAATAATAGAATTAGAGCTTTGTGCATTGGGGATGTAGGCTCAGTGGTAGCTCAGATACTCGCCTGGCACACATAAGGCCCTGCATTTCATCCCTAGCACCTCACCACTTAAGAAAAGAAAAAAAAAAAAAAGCTTTGGTTATTTTGTTGCCCGTAAAAATTAATGAGTCCAGGAAATGATAAACAATGGCTACTGCCACAAGACAAGACACACTGTGGAAGTATCCAATGGCATATGTGAAGCATTATTTTTTAAAAAAAAGGAAGGCAAGGAGAAAAATCTACAATCTGAATGAGCTCTCAGTTTTCAGAAAATGTGAGATTGAAGAAATAACATCACTGGGATATAACCAATGATATTCAGATGATTAAAATTTTTGTAGAGCAAATAGCTATTTCTTCAATAAATTGCAGAAAAAGAGAAAGAAACTTAGGAAAGTATCAACAACTACAATTTAAGTATGGGTTTACACATACTGAAATATTTACAGATGAAACTATATGACTAGGATTTGTTTAAAAGTAACCTTGGAGGTAGTATGAAAAAAAAAAAAAGAGAGATAAAATGAGTTGAATGCAAAGGCCATGATCCCAGCTACTTGGGAGGCAGAGATTGGGAGGATCAAGGTTTGAGATCAGCCTAAGCACAAAGTTAGTGAGACTCCATTAACAGGTAGTTGCATGCCTGTCATCCCATCTATTAGAGGCCACAGGCAAATATCAGAAAAATAACCTAAAGCAAAAAAGGGGCCAGGGGAGTGGCTCAAGTGGTAGAGTGTTTGCTTAACAAGTTTCAGGTTCTGATTTCAAACCCTAGTACCACGGGAGGGGATGGGGGGGAATGAAGCAAGATTGGCCACTAGTTACAGTTGTGAGACTGGGGATATAGCTCAGTGGTACAGTGCTTGTCTGGCATACATGAGGCCCTGGGTTCAATCCACAGCACTACACGGAGAAAAAAAGAAAAAAAAAGTCATATGGGTTTTTTTATCATATTATACTTGTTTGCTCATGTTTAAGAAGCTGCAAGTTTAGACTTTGTTATAAAGTCTCCTCTGGGGATGCTAGAAAGCTCCTTTCTCTGGCTTCTTGTGTTACAAACACATTAGGTTAGACATCAAATAGCCCACCAGATCAGGCTTCTAGCTGCAATATCAAAATTACATCTCTTCTGACCTAGTTGGGTATAAAACTGTTGAGAGAGAGAGAGAGAGAGAGAGAGAGAGAGAGAGAGAGAGAGAGAGAGAGAGAGAGAGAATGTGTGTATATATGCCAATGAAATATTCTTCCTATAGGAATGTCATGGCCAGAGAAATGCAATACACACAGATGGGACACTTTCATGGTGAAACTCAGTCCATAGTATTTTGGGTTTGTAAGAGGGACTCACTGGCTAGGCTAATCTAATGTAAGAAGCATGGAGACTTCTTGATTATAATCAACTCTCTTGCTTGATTACAATCATTTCTTAAAATCTTGTAGGTGAAGTGTAACACCCAGACAAATACATAAATATTAAGTGCACAAAGGTGAAGAAATAAACCATTAGCCAGATACCAGAAACTCCTCCTCATAACCTTTTTCACCAATTACATCAATCTCAAAGGTAACTACTGTCCTGTTTCTTGAATGTGATGTAAATAAAATCATACATTATGCATTCTCTGGTATAATGGCTTTCTTTGTTTAACATCCCATCTGTGAAACTGTTTCATGAAGTTTTGTCAGATTTATCTTGCTCATTTGCATGACTATAAAGTATCCAATACATACTGTATGTCTGTTTATCTCTCATAACACATTGTGCCCTAAGGAGTACTTTAACATTTACATAGCTAACATCAACTTTCTTTTTGTTAAAGACAGTCTCTTAACAGATTAGAATTTGTCATTTGACATTTGTATTTTGCAAGAGCAACAACTCAGCAGCTAATTCATAACCTCAGACACAGAACAAAGACATAGATGCTCACTCAATCTGTTAGAGGGGAATTTATTCCAGTGGAATTGAGTTTTTCCAGTTAGCCTGTCTATATATTTTGAACAAACATAAGGGAGCTTTTTATTGATTTATGGATTTAGGCTGACACTTACACTACATTATACATTCCGAAAAGGTCCTTAACTCTGTGTTTTGCCCAGCACCCAGATCAACTGGTGGCACAACTAGTATTTGATGATCTGAGTAATTTCTTTTTTTAAAACCTTTCATTTTTTTTGATGGGATTCGGGTTTGAACTCAGGGCTTTGTGCTTCCAAAGCAGGCGCTTTACTGCTTGAGCCACACCTCCAGTTCACATTTTACTCTGGTTATTTTGGAGATGGGGTCTTGCCAACTATTTGCTTGAGCTGAACCTCAATCCTCCTGAATTCAGTCTCCTAAGTAGCTAGTGGTGTGGGCTGAACTGTCTGCCCCTCCCACCCCAGTTAGTAGGTTGAAATCTAACTCCCATATCTCAGATTGTGACTGTATTTGGAGATAAAATCTTTAAAAAATGTGATAATTTAGTGCGTCCTAATCCAATTATGACTGTTGTCTTTTTTGAGAGAGGGTCTTCCTGTGTATCTCAGACTGGTCTCAAACTCACAGTTCTCTTGCTTCAGCCTGTCCAGTACTTGGGATTATAGGCATGCACCACCGTTCTTATAAATAGGGATTAGGACACAGACACAAACAAAGGAAAGACTAGGAAGGTGTAGGGAAAAGACAGATCTACAAACCAAGGAAAGATGAACTAGAAGGCATCAATGGTGTTCATACCATGATCTTGGATTGCTAGGCTCTGAATTGTGAGACACATTTTTTAAGAGTTAGTTTCCATAAATTTTTACAACATGAAGCTAAATTTTCAGTTTAAATTTTTAGCCTTCACTAGAAACATTCTTACCACTGTTCAATGTCTTTAAATTGGCTGTGCAATTTTCAGAATATATGAGCACTTCAACACTACATATAGACCTGCAAGATCAAGTCAGCAGTACTTGATAGTATAGAAGAACAACACCTTTGTAGTTAAAGGGCAAGGACATGGGTTCCAGTCTAGCCTGCAGTTAACTGAAAAACTGAACTAATGGTCTCAGGTTCACATGTACAAAATTCTTTGACTCTTAGTGATGACTTACAATGTGTAAACAGTTCACAGTCAATCAAGTTAATAAAAGCTTCTTCATTTGGCCATATGGTTATTTAATCTTTTTCTGATGAAGATGACTCTTTTGCTGAAATAAATATTTATTTATCTAGTGACATTTATGGTAATAATAGATATTACAGGTAAACTAGCAAAAACTAGTAGAGATTGCCTAATTTTTGATTCCATTAAAAATAAATTCCTACTTCTAAGAGATCCTTGAGTAAAAGATTAAAATAAATATGACTGCTTAGATTCCTGCAATCCAACACTTTTTTTTTTTTTGGATGGTACTGCGGTTTGAACTCAGGGCCTCATGCTTGCTACACAGGTGTTCTATCACTTGAGCCACTCCACCAGCCCTCCAACAATTCTTGAAAGAACCAAGAAGTACAATATATAGCTACTTGGCAATCGAGTTAATCTTTAACTAAGAATACAAATTCAAAAGAACACAAACTTGGTCTCAGATCAGACATCATGTCTAAGTGTTATATATGCTGATCCTACAGAGAAACAAAAAAATTGAATCAAACCTGTAGTAGTATTTCAATTCCATTTTGGCACTGTACAAAGAGGGAAAGAGAGAAGAGAGAGAGTAAGTTTGAGCAAACAAGCATGCTAATGTGTAACTGCACTAAAGAAGGAATGACTGAATGAAAGGTGCAGAATAAGATTAGAAAAACATTTTGCTCCTCAAAATGAGAATAATTCCTAAATTAAAAGAGTAGTTAGATTTTTTAAAAAGTTGTTTGAATTCATTTTTGCTATCTTCTATGACAATTTGAGATGGATGGCTATGGGAAAAAAAAAGAAAATATGACATCATTAGAATTACAGATAAGACAAGGGGAACCCAAGGTACAGACAAGAACACAGAAAAAATTTAAGAGCGTACAGATGTCATGACATTTATTAAAAGGCATGCTACAATGCTATACTTGTTAGGAAAAGAGATTAGAGATACCAAGTAATAGTTAGCAAATATACAAATTGAAGGAAAATGGAATATAGTGTACAGAAGCTTGAATTAATCATGCACTACGCATTTAGAAAATATGTTTTTTTAATATTTTATCTTCTCTTTGCAATTATAACACAATTCACTTCAACAATCACAGAATCCTTTTCTTCCAATGCCACGAACTGTATTACAAATGAAAGCTGGTACTGCTGCTTATCAAAATATACAAGACAATTGATGTTTTATATAAAACCACTTTATGTTAACTTGTTCCCAAAACCCTTTTTTTTCTTCTTTTTGGCCTGGTTTAAAAAAATGTTGTTACAAATATTTACAGCATTTTCTTCTGTTAGATGAACATTCTCACAAACAGAAAAAGGGAATTTTATGAACAGACCACATAAAACACAAGACAATGTCAGAGGCTTCTAGCTGTGCTATTTTTTTCCCCTTAAATACAGTACTGAAAATGCCCATCAAACCCTTGTCACCCTAATCCACTCTGTTCGCATTTAAACTCCCATCTTCTCTAAGTAGTCTATTCACCAATAGGAAACAGAGAATAAAGGCCACTCTGCTTAGGTCCCTCAGAAAGGAGCTTGGAGGGGATCTTCACAGAGGAGGTAAACCAGAACAAGTCAGTCTTTGGTCAGAGCAATGAGGTGACATTTTGATGCAAAACTTTGCTTGGTCAGCAATCTTTGTAATTAGTACTTTCTGGATATGGGATGAATTTTTTAAAGATCTGGGTAACAATGAATGGTAAGGAAAAAAAAGTCAGAGTATGATTTTTTTTAATGACACAAAAAATAGCTATTTAAATATTCTTATAACTACTACATAGATCCAAGAAATGAAAATAATACAACAAAAATCTGTTGACAGTATTAAATTAAGCTTGCCAAAAGCAGGCTTTAAATCATGACTATTATCACCATCCAGGTTACTGGACCAGACAAATATAAATATCCCCGTGTTTTATAACATATGCCTCAGGTTGCAAAACTAAGGTGACTAACACAGAGGTTATAGAGCAGTTCTTTTCTGGAACCAGCAGAGTGCTCTATAATGAATATTATGTGATAAAGGCAGAGTGTAACTGAGTCTTCATTTATACAGTTACTTGCTTGTATGACTAGTCTGTGGGACAACATTCTTTTAAAACTACATAGTACATATTTCCTGAAAACTAGAATACTGATACTACCTTAGTCTCAAATAGGAAGAAAAGGTCAATTAAGACTATTAAAGAAGGCACATAAACTTTGGTCCTGTTATGTTTTTCTCCCTTTATAAACTTCCCCCCCAAATTAAGATTTTAGTAATTTTCTATCTTTTTAAACCATTTACAAATAGTTGTTAGGGTTTGCTCTGAAAAAAGACTGCAAGTAGTCTTGTATATAACAACACAATTGGTTTAAAAGACAGTTGAGTTACACTTTAAAACCGTACAATCTAAATTGTATTTGTTTTAGCACTATAGAATATTTTAAGTCTGGCAGTTTTATTCTCAATTAACAACAGATCAAGACAAAGGAAAGGCTAAGAAAAATGCTTTACTCATAGTCATGCTGTCTCTTTTTGGTTTTAAAAATAGCAGTACACATGTCTTCTAAGAGACAAGCTGATAGTTTAGCAAAATTAGGGTTTTTAAGTGAGTGGTTGGTTGAGTTTGTCATTTTTTTGTCCAAAAATATTTAATAGGAACAGAAGAGAAACCACATTATAATATATTCAAATATAAATACTGCTGCCTAATGATATGGAGACTTTTGAAAGTTTCTGAAAATAGAAAGAATCATAATTCTTTTTTGTTCTTTTTTTTTTTTTGAAATAAGGTTTCGCTATATAGCAAGGCTGGCCACTATATGTAGTCAGGCTGGGCTTGAACTGGAAATGCTACTACTGCCTTTGCCTCCCCAGTGCTAAATTAACAGGTGTGCACCACAACACTTAGCTCTTAAGAGCTTAACCAGAAACAGACCTGATGACGATCACCATGCCTGGTGAAGGCCAAGAAGGCTTTGTGCCCATAAGGGATGAAGCAGGCAGAAACTGTGGCTTCAAAAAATGAGTTCAAATATTACTACAAATAAATGATTATAATATTTAGTCTTAAAGGATTATGACATTCTGTAGATGCTAACTGGGTAATTATTAAGACAATGTATTATTTTTCTATTTGTATCTTACACAAAATACATTTTACTGCTATGTAAGTTATCCAAATCTCAGAGTAAAGCATTTTGGCATAAATTGCTATTTGTTAAATGTATACTGCTATTTTTTAAAGTCCTGAATATACATATTTTGTGTAAAAGTCAAGATACCTTGAAAAGTGATATGACAATACTCCTTAAAATAAAGTAAATAAACTTAAAAATAGGATACCATCACAGATCAACAGCAAAAAATAAACCACTGCTTAGAAGACAACTGAATAAATGCATGCCAAAACAAACACAGATCTAATTTTTCCACCACCCTGATATTTTTTAATGTTTTTACAAAAATGATAACACAAATACTGTAGACCTCTATAACTCAAACAGCAGAGCTCAATATGGACAATACCCATAAGCTATAGCTAATTTAAGACACACTCTGATGGCTTCAAACATGCTCTTTTAAACAGGAATATCTCACTTTTCCAAATTTTAATTTGGTTAATTTTCTTTGTCAATAAATTAAAATGTATGTAATGTGCATATGTATATACATTAGAAGAGTGTATGCATGTATATACACTTATTTATACACACTCTCGCACACACATATCTACATAAATCCCTGAAAAGGATTCAAATGTTCTCTCCCAGATTTAAAGGCCATCCCTTACTACAAAATTACATTCAACACCATTATGACTCCTCTTCTGCTATGGGTAACTTTTGCTACAGTTATGCTGGATATTATGAGAATCATGAATTAATAAATTGCATGGGAATTCTCCACTCAAAGCTAATGAAGTAATCCAATTTAACATGCCACTGAAAATTACAAGAGTGCCTATGTGGAAAAAAAAAAAAAGCAAATTTTGGGAGATTTTTCAAAATTTTTTCTTCCTCCCTACTCAGTATTCAGGTAAGAATATATTTCACAGAAGTGGGGGAAAAAACCCAAATAGATAAAATCATTATACTTATCTCTTGAGCTAATAATTCTTGCTCAGTGTTGAATAAGTTCTGATTTTAAACAACCTATAATTATCTCTTTCAGCCTCTCTGCAAAATTTCTTTTGTTAAAAATAAAACAAACAAACCTCCCTATGTTCGAATTAATGGCTGGAACAGAGTAAAAAGATTGAGATATTCTTTTAAAAGCTGAGATGAGCCACTCTGAGAATATGAAAAGTGTAAAAGAGGTGGGCAAAACTGATCCCTTTGACAAATTCTGCTTTAAAAAAATCTGACCAAACTTGGAATAATTAACAAAAGCAGTTTCTTGTTAAAAAGAAACAATTTTACACTATACAATCACTGAAGCAACATTAAAATGTACTCTTACATTCAACCAAAAAGAGAGGGTTAGAGTATGAAAAATAACCAACCTTCTCATACTCCAAATATGTGGGCACTCAGTAATGAAGTTATAGTAACAAAGAAAAGCAAGTTCTCATTGAGTACTGAGAAAGAACCAAGTAATCCTGAGACAAATTCTGATGGACAACAAAGATCAGACAAGATCCAGAAACTGAGATTGCAGTTCTATAGCCCCAAGTTGATATGTGGTAACTGGCAATAACCACTACCATCCACAATGCAAAGAGGCCTACAAGTATGCACTGAATTATTCCCAAAACCATTCACCTTCCCACATCCCATCTCTGCACCAAAGCACCAAAAATCTGAATAGAAACTATTACTTATTGAAAACCACTTAAATTGCAATGAAAAAACTTTAAAATCCTTACCAAAACAGGGAAAGAAAAAACAAACGCTCACCAAGCCCACAATATATCTTTCAAGATATTTAGATAAAACTCTAACCTATTGTATCTTAAGCACATAATAAGGCACATAATAGAAATTAAGTAAATACACAGTAATTCTGAATAAGTATTAGAGATTATAGTGGTACAAAAAACCCTTGAGATTCATTTTTTTTCTAAAAGAAGACCTTACCAAAAATAACTTTTAAAAAATCTGTCAAACCATATGATAGACCTGAATATTTTCTTTAAGACTGTAAACTTTTTTTTTAAAACAATTATAAAAAAGTAGTTTATAAGTAGGATTTTTCTTTTAAAATTTTTCAAGATCATATTCTATTACTTAACAAATAAGTGTCATTTTGAAATTTAAAACACAATTTTTCTAATAAAACTACTGATTATTCTGACATCGTAATAGATCCTGGTTGGATTCCACTTACTTTTTTCTGGGGACAGTTGAGACGCTTTATTTTTCCCAATAGTCTTAAAAAGGTAAGATATGCATTATTCAAAAGAGTGCCATACAGTGAAAAAAAGAAATAATCGAAAGAAAACATGCATGTTTATAAATCTGCTTCCAATACAACTCAATGTGTTTAAGAACAGTAACATCAATAGATGGCAAATATTTGATGTAGTTTGTAAGTGAACATAATTTACTACAGGGGTCAAATTTCCAAATCATAGAGTTAAAACTTGGCTGTAAGTGATTTAAATTACTTACATAGAGTAATTTTAAAAGTCTGAATGTTTAAATTTCTTAAAGTACAAAGGTGTTTAGAAGTTTTGTATAAGGCTGATCTGGACCCAAACTAAAACAAAGTCTGTCCACTTGAAATCTAATTTAACATAGGGAATTAAATTATTCAAAAAATATTTTTTCCTGATTTTTTTTCCTGAAGGCTATTTTTTATAGAAACCATGGTACAAAGGAAAAGCAAACTTTTGATCATATACTGGCAACAGGGAAATAACGGGGGGGGGAAGGGGGGAGACCATCCCTTGTTTGAATATACTTGAATATCAAACTCAGAAGGAGTTATTTTTATGAAAGAGGCAAAATTGGTCTTGAGCTGCTGTTCAGTCTATTGTCTGAAAATTGTACTGAACTTATGGTCCAGTTTTAGGAGAAAACTTCACAGAAAAGTCAAATTGTAGATTTTGAGAAAGAAACTCTGAGGTGGTGATTTTCTCCAAGATCATGATTATGAAGCTCAATGAGGGCCTGGATTGCTTCTTCCACAGATCCCAACTGAATGAGTGCCATTTTGCGATCTTTCCTGAAAATGGCATAAGAAATACAGATTTAGAATCAAATTTGTTTCCAAACTTTCTCTGCCCACTAGAAGAATTCACTGAACTATCTTAGAACACTGCTACCATGTTAAACAATATTAATGTATTTCTTGAAAGCAAGGACTTACTGAAAGAATTTGAAAGCCTTCACTGAACATCCAGCTTCTGTGAAAAGGTTCTTCAGATCATCCATTGTAACAGAAGGGCTGGGAAAACATCACAGAGTATCAACTACATTAGTCATCATTCTCAACTGAAGCAGAGATTAACTCTGGTAATTATCAAATTTCTACAGTACTTTATGTTTTAAACAGAATTATTGAGCCATGTAAGGAAGACAAGATTTGCAAATACACAAGAAAATGTTGAAGATGGATACATAGATACATACATGCCCTCAAACAAAAGAATTATTATCTCAACTTTGCTGAGGATGTTGACAAGTCTTCAGATTAACCTTTATTGATATTTTGATCTTTATACAGGGTCAAATATCTTTCTATATGTATTCTTTTAAAGTGATTATTATAACACTGGTTTTAGTAACTGATTAACTCTAGTATTTCCAAAGTTACTTCCCAAGCTCTGATTTGTCTGCTATAGTCTAGAGTTCTACATTTTTTGTGGCTTTCAGGATAAATTGTGTATGTTGACAGCTAGGTTCTGAGATGGTCCCTGATTACTTTGCCTCCTAACAGTCACACTCTTGTGTACTTCCCTTATACAACTGAATACAGGATATTCTAGAAATGTCAATGTGTTCCTTCATATAACAGCACCCTTGCTGAGATTTTGCTTTTCCATGCTGTGCCATGTACAAGCTAAACACATACTCTACCACACTAAGCTATACCAGTCACCCGGTGCACAGCATTCTTATATGCAACCTTATGAGAGTCTCTCAGCCAAAACCACCTAGCTAAGCTACCTTTGGATTCCTAATCCACAGTATGAGATAATGAATATTTTCTACTGTGTTAAGCTTTTTGAGTTTTGGGGTGGTTTGTTATGCAGCAATGTAAACTAACATAGTGGTATATCATATCAGAGTCAACTGACAAAAAGCAGACTCATCTTCTCAAGATATCCAGCAAGGACAGTGTAGAATAACCACTGGCTCTACAGAGAGATAGATTTGAGCTCATATTATATTCCTCACTCACTTAGTATATCATTTTGAATAAATTATTTATCCTGAATCATCAGTAAAAAAAAAAACCAATGATCTTACTTCAAAGGTTATTTGGATAAACTGATAAAGACTGAGTATAATACAGTAGTTACCAGGAGTTGGGGAGTTGTTGCTTAATGGATACAGTTTCAATTTGAGATGATGAAAAGGTTCAGCAGATAGAAGTTGCATAATAAGTGAATGTATACAGTACTACATACTTAAAATAGCCAAAATAATAATAAACTTTGTTATATAAATTTTACATTTTTTAAAAAAGGAATTGTTATGAAGATTAAATAAAGGCTGAGGGCATGGCTCAAGTGGTAAGAGAGCCTGTCTACTAATTGCAAGGGCCTGAAATCAAACCCCAGTACGGCCAAGGGAAAAAAAAAAAAGAAAGATTAAATGAAGCAGTAAGTGTAAAGCATCAGCACAGTATCCAGAACTTGAAAGATGGCTCAAAAAATATTTTGAGACCCTAACTCAAAATAAAATAAAAAGGGTACAATAGGCTCACTAGGCTAGTTCACAGTGATGAGCTGCTTTTTTTTTTTTTTTGTAAAGTGACTCTGAGGTGGAAGAGGTTTGATCCACCACCTAATTGAGCTTAAAGGTTTCTCCTCATAGCCTAATTGTACACCAGCAATGATGGTGGGCATCCCACACTGTTTTGAGCAATTACATTTTCCTAGTTAGTTCTCTTTCTTATTCTCAAAAATGTTCCAAAACTAAAGAGCTGGCAGAGTGGCTCAAGTGGTACAGCACTTGCTTGGCAAGCATGAAGCTGAGTTCAAACTCCAATACCTCTCCCCTACAAAAAAAAAAAAAAGTAGTTCCAAAATTTTACCCCTGGCCATTTCCTCAGTCTTTAAAATTTTTACACACACACAAATATACCCTTCACCACATACAGCTTTTACCCCTCAAGTGGTAGAGCTAATGCCTTCCAGGTATTAGTTTAAGATATATAAAACTGTCATTTTTGTAGATTAAAGATTTTAAGAATTAGAACAGGATTGCCAGATGTCTTCTTTAGTGAAACAGATATATAACAGTATCTTAGGCTTTCTGAGCTATATAATCTCTGTTACAACTCAGTTCTGCTATTATAGCTCAAAAGCACTCATATATAGTATGTAAATGAATGAGTGTTGCTGTTTTATATCAAACTTATAGAAGGTGAAATTTGAATTTTATGTAATTTTCTCATATCACAAAATACTTTGTTTCCCCAACCATTTAAATATATAAAAATCATTCTTAGCTCAGACTATACTTAAACCGTCTGTCAATCCAATAAAATACTGATTAATAAAGAGACCAGTAGATGATGACAGGAAATGGCTTTCAACAAATCCATTTTCACCAAATTACTTGATTTGGCTGTATTAGCTATCTAAGAGTCATTACACTTCCAAAAAGGAAAGGACAAGTACATACCAGTGGAATAGTTCTGAACATACTTATTTTTATCTGGGTGTATAACTGAAAGACAACTAATTGAAATTCTCCATTTGAAAATTTAAAAATATTGAAAGTTTTACTTTTGGAGAATATGATTAGCAATGTAACCTCCTTAAGACATGATGGCAAGTAAGTTATCTTACAAAAAACTGATGATCAAGACAACACTTAAGTTAGAATAGTCTCAGAGTTATTATTTGAACCAAACCACATATTACAGATTATTAATCACCTAAATGAATGACTGATTAAATACATACGGAATGTTGGAAAGGTGAAGAGTTGCTGATGGTGGAAAGATATTCTGGAAGTTCTTAGAGCCGGGCTTTTTAAAGCGGTGCAAGGGGCTATTGCTGAAATCCTTAGTTAGACCTTGGTCTTCTTGCCCCTCTCGAGGAAGCTGAACTGCCTGGTGTTTGGACAGTGTAGCACGAAGCACTTTTCCATAAAGTCTCTGACCACTTAGATGGTTCATTGCTATGCATAGAAAGAAAGTAAGAAAAACTGAGTATTAATGCAGATTCTCAGTAACATGTATTTAGGTTACCATAAACTATTTTCATTTAGTCATTTAAAATTATAGTAAGTTTGAGGATTAAAAGTGTTTTATATCTGAAAGCCCTTTGGGAAATATATTAAATGATATAATTTTCTTACAATGAAAACAATTTGAAAAACATAGTAAGTATTCAAGAAATGGCCACTGAATATAGAAGGGTTATCTTAAGCAAAGCTACTACTCTTTTTTTTTAGTGAGACTGGGGTTTGAACTCAGAGCAGCTTCATGCTTGCAAAGCAAGCCCTTTAACTTTTTGAGTCACACCTCCAGTCTATTTGCCATGGTAATGTTGGAGATGGGGGACTCAAGAACTTTTTGTCCAGGGTGGCTTCCAACCATGATCCTCCTGAGCTCAGTCTCCCAAGTAGGTAGGATTACAAGCAGGATCACCAGCACCTGGCTCTTTTTGTGGGCAGTATTAGGATGTGAACTAAGGGCTTCACTTTTGCCAGGTAGTGCTCTTCCGCTTGAGTTACACTCCCAAGCCTTTTTATAAGAAACTGAGTAATAGCCTCTGTAACAGTGAGGCCATGGAATGACATTTTCTTGCACCATCCTAAGTTTGTCCAAACCAGCCAACAGTTCTAGAAAACCTAGTTTAGAAGGAAAAGAAATACAGAACTATATGAACACATAAAATGGAACAAGTCCTGCTTATTAGTTTAAACTTAATGGAAAAGCCCTAGAATCAAAGCTATAAACATCAACAAAATGTTCAAGTAGATAAGTGAACTTCAGTGAAGAGTAATGAATATTTTTTTAAAGTATAAGTAGGTGAAAATAATGAAAATACCACCCCAAAGAAGTACTCTTGTAAAATTATTGGACATTTATTTTAAAGGAAAATTCACATACAGAAAGGGCCGGTTATCATCATCATTACTCTTAATCATTAGTACCTAGTTGAGCTTGATTTGCATCTGCCATCTGAACCAGGGCATTTTCTTTCTTATTAAACATAATCTTCACTCGATGTACATCACCATATACTCCTAATTAAAACAAAACAAAACATGTATTTAATGCCTGATTATGTCGTTTTTAACTAATTTTACTAATATATTTAAAAGTTTCTTTCTCACGCTGCATTATGTCACTGCAATTTCACAGATACCTACTCAGTTCTTCACATGATGTTGCCTGAACACTTCAAATAGATTCATCCCTCTTTACCTCTCCCGTTTCAGCGTTGACTACTTGTGGGTAAATGGTATACTCATCCACACAGCTGCTCCAGTCAGATACCATCTTTTGATGTTTCCCTTTCCTTAACGTCTTACTTCTAAATCAATCACCAGCACCCCTGGATTCTATGGCCTACACGTCTCTTTGTAACTGTCTACTTCTTCCCAACCCTCATTACTAGCATAGCTACCACCACCATTTCGTATGAGGACTACCACAACATCTTTCTAATTGATCTCATTACGCTCATTTTTCTATATTCACCAAAGTTGGGTCCCACATCACAGAGGACAGGCAAAATGATTCATTGCAGTTAAAAAATAGTAAAATTCTTATCCATACTGACCTTTTCACATAAACCAGTATGAAAAACATTTTATGAATTTTTAATCTGTAGATAAGTTATGGGCAGGAGGTTCTACAATGTGAATGGCCTTCTCTCATTTCTCTCTATCCAGTGTATTACAATATGTATAGTTTATGTGTTACATGGCATGGATGATGTCATAAAAATAAGACATCTGTAGCAGCATCATTACCATACTTTGTAATACAGAAAGACAACAGTTACAATAGCCTTCAAGGCACACAAAGGAGAGCTGGTTATTAGCACCTGAAAGCAACTGAACCTAGAGATGAATGGTACTCTTAAAATTTAGAACAAAAAGGCAAGTATTTCAAATCTGTTGACTTCCTCAGGAACTGCAAGTAGCTGAAGTAGATATTCCTTAAAAACTAAACACATATATACAATTTCATCTTTAAGGTATGGGTCGTATTTTTTTTAAATGAGCGAGAAATTTACTTTCAGAAAAATGAGATGCCTTGGACAGAAAAAGAGTAAGCTGAAGGTATATTATTGATACAGAATTTTATCACAGAAAATTACCTAAATGTGTTATTATTTAAAATGTTTATGGGGACTGCAAATAAACATAAGGGATTTCTTATGGGTGACAGAAAAGTTCTAAAACTGAACTGTGGTGATGGCTGTATAACTGTGAATATTTACTAAAACTCACTAAGTTCAATACACAAAGCAGGAAACCTGCATAGTTATAAATTATAACTCAAAAATGCTGTTTAAAAACCTTTCAATCAGCTGACTGTGGTGAAGCATGCCTACAATCCAAGCCACTTGGGAGACTAAGCAGAAGGATTACAAGTTTGAGGCTAGGTTGGGCTACATTGGTGAGATAAATCAAAAATTGTTTTTGGAATAGGCTGGTGGAGTGGCTCAAGTGGTAGAGCACCTGCCCAGCAAGAGTGAGGCCCTGAGTTCAAATCCCAGCACCACCACCACACACACACACAAAAAACTAACAAAAATTAATGGATTCGACTGGAAAACTTAATATTGTTTATTTCACTGTTCTCATACTTGGGTACTTATACTATGTATGAAATGAGTACAGTAAAAGATGGATGTAATTTATAAATAACTACATAATTAGGAATGTATGCTTATTTTCTTTTAAACTGCGAAGGGAACATTGGTAGAAAGCTGAGATTTTTATTTATTTATTTATTTTTGAGACAGGTTCCAATTATGTAGCCTGAGCTGGTCTTGAACTTTCAATTCTCCTACCAAAGATGTTCAAGTACTGGGATTACAGACATGAAGACTATTTCAGACTGAGGTGGTACATGCCTCGCCTGGGTTCAATCCCCTGCACCGAGAAAACAAAAACAACAAACACCCACTTGAATTTCATTATACCACTTTCTTGCTTAAAAGTATTCAATGCCTAGCTGGACATTATGGTACACTCCTATAATTCCAGCTACTTGGGAGATAGACACAGGAGATTTGTGGCTCAAGACCAGTCCAGGCAAAAGTTATGGAGCCCCCATCTCAAAAACAAGCCAGGCAAGCCAGGCATTGCCAGATCCTCAGTTTAATCCCTAGTACTGGCAAAATCCAAAAACAAAACTGAAAAAACCTATTCAATGGTTTCCCCTTGTTCTTAGGGAATCAAATTCCTCCATTAGCTTACAAAGCTCCTTAGGCCCTTGCCTCTATCCACCTGTTCAGCTTTAACACGTCTCTCATACCCTCCATTGGGCTTCCTTTACTTCCATGTGCTCAGAAACCTCTCCTTTACTGCAGTATCTATGAAAAGACATATACCCTCCCTTCTGTCCGACTGACTGGTCCTCATCTGTCACAAGTTGCCTTAACTATTCTATGATTCCCTCCACTAAGTCTCTGTGCTTTAAGTTTACAACCTTTATTTCCCCAACTATAAAAACTTCATTGTAATTATCTACTAAATCTTATTCACTGCTCTATCCTCAGTGTCAAACTCACTATTATACAAATAGAGGTAATAAATATCACTAAATGAAATCAAATATGCTCAATTCATACCTACAGATGATGTTAAAAATAATAAAAATGAACTTACCAAATAGGATAAAAAGCCCATGTGGGGTGATAAGCTGTTTGAAAAGAATAACACAAAACTTAAAATGTCTTAACTAATGAGTAAGTTAGGCAAAATTTTAAAACAAGTTTATTTATAATGTAATCAAAACAGTTGATTTTGTTTAAAGCATTGTTTTATATGTTTCTATATATATGTTTCTATATCACAGTGGTGATAAATCTTAGAATCCTTAAAACAAACTCAAAGCATCTAAATTTGAATACAATCCTAGATCAGAAGCAAATATTCCTCCTCCTAAAAGACTATTTAGGTATAACACTTCTCAACTTACATCAGGATTGAGGTTGGTGACAAGCAGAACAGAATTTCCTGGTATACCACTTGCCCCAGGAATTGCCATCCTTCCAGCAACAGCAGAGGAAGTGAGTGTGAGGGGACCAAGGGCCCCAGGAACAGCTGGGACAGACAGACCTTTGAAAAACACCAAAAACATTTCGTATTCCAGTTTTCTGGACAATGGCCAATACTTGATGTAACTTAGTAAATAAAAGAAGAGAAAAGCAAACACATAGAAGAAAATGTGTCAAGGGTACCATAAAGGATCCCAAAGGCCAATTTTCTACATCACAGACTGTCTGGAAGCTGAGTTCCTTATTTGCTGACATTATCAACTACTAAATACTCTACTCCTTTTATACTTGCAGAATAAGTGGACTCAGGTCTTACTGCTAGGCTTCTCCTAGCGGTCTATCAACTACAAAGCATTCCCTCTGTCTTGAAATAAACAGGTTCCAGCACCTTTATATCAAGTAAACTTGAACCGTAAAAATCAAGTATGTACTGTTTTTAAAGTTCTTCACAGAAGTAATGAACATGTGTGCTGGGTAGCACTATACAACAGTCTATATAGAGAAATACTCTGTAACTTAGCAAAGTGCTATATAAACATTATTATGATCAATAGATATACAGTGTTCAATACTCTTGTGAAATTTTTTCAGAGCTCTCTACTCCCCCACATGTTCTCAAACTACTCAAAGTTCTATGGTAGCAAAATGTTGATATGGTATTTAAATTAGCACAATTTCCCAGGAAGTCCCACTATTTATTTAGATATTAGCTTAAAAATTACCTGTACCTACCTATTTACCTCTAGTTTATGTAAAAGAAGCCAATACTTAAATTACTGATTCTTTAAGCTCACACTCTTTTTTGCTAGTCTGACTACGTTGCTACATATCATGACATAGAACTGCAATATATTTCACACTGAGCCTATTCTGCTTGACAATCTAAAGAGTACTACTGTCATAATTCATAGTGCTGAATTTTATAACTGTACAGACCACATTCTCAGGATGAATACTTTTCTATGTTACCTTTATCTAGTAGTCCTTCCTATGCCCCTCCAATCCAACTCCCCAACTTTTACTAGTTTGTGGCTCTGTTATACATCAGCTATGAGTACAGTTTAGCACCACTATGGGGTATGTATGTGCATATCATCCACTATACCTTAAACATCAGGAACCCTCTTCACTCACTTTTTAATCCTTCTTAGTATCTATCACTGTCTATTACTGTGGCTTATACATAATGTGTGTCTAAAAGAAATACCTAAAATAAGGAAAACATACCTACTATTTCCAAATATCTACCAGTTAAATAGAAGCTTTTATTTTTAAACCAATAATGTAGAATAGTCATTTAAAGATATATTAAGATGTATTAAGGGCTGTCAGAGTGGCTCAAGTGGTAGAGCACCTGCCTAGCAAATGTGAGGCCCTGAGTTCAAATTCCAGTACTGCCAAGAGGGGAAAAAGGTGTATTTAAACCACCAAACAACTAATACTTTAGCCTCAACTTTCCTATCATTCTTTTCTTTTTAGTAAACTCTATCCTCTCCATTGGAGACAGGGTAGCTAATATTACCAGAAAGCAGCTATGCTAAAATTTAAAATAAAGCTGTAGCTGGATATGGTAGTGCACACCTGTAATTCCAGCACCTGGAAGGGTAAGGTATGAGGATCTCAAGTTCAAAGTCAGCCTGGGTTACACAGGGAGACCTTGTGTCAAAAAAACTTAAAAAAAAAATACAGCTATAGTTTTGAATTAGTTGAAAGCTAGAAATGACTAACTTCATATTTTTTTCTCCCCTCAGTGCAGGGGTTTGAACTCAGGGCTTCTTGTTGGCCAGGCAGGTGCTGTACCACTTGAGCCAGGACCCAGACTTTTTTTGTTTTAGTTACTTTTCAGGTAGAGTCAAGCATTTTTGCCCAGGGCTAGCCTCAGTGAACTTCCTACTTACAGTCCTCAGCCTGGCTGAGATTACAGATGCATACAACCACCTGGTTTGTTTAAATGGGGTCTTGCTAATTATTTTTCCCCATGCTGATCGCTGAACCGAGATCCTCTCAATCTTAGCTTCCTAAGTAGCTGGGATTACTGGTGTAAGCCACTGTACCTGGTCCTCAAGTGTTTTCTTTTGGGGGTGGTACAGTATTGAGGTCTGAACTCAGGACTCATGCTTGCTAGGCAGGGCTCTACCACTTGAGCCACTCTGCCAGTACTGTTCTTGTGTTGGGTATTTTCAAAATAGGGTCTCACAAACCATTTGCCCAGGCTGGCCTTAAACCACAATCCTGATCTCTGCTTCCCCAGTAGCTAGGATTATAGGTGCGAGCCACTGGCACCCAGCTCTCAGTGTTTTCTTTATAGAGATAAAACCATCAAGTGTTTTCCCCTTTTCCTTTAGTTATAATCAAATTAAGGAGTTATTTCTTATTACATTATCTAAAGATAAAACAAATATATCCCCTGAAATAAACAACATATACCGCAATTACTGGAGTTCAGATTGGAAGCAGAGAAAATTATTTATAAACAAAAGGAAGCTGTGCATCATACAAGTATCTTCTATGGTTTATGTGTCTAATGCTTTTAAATTTCTCAAATTTTTCAACTTAAGTTCCTAGAAAATAAAGAACTTCACTTAAAATCATTTCAAATTCAACTTTAAAAGATTCACCTGGAGAAAGGACACTGAGGGGTGAAGAGGATCAAAGTACACAACATATATACACATTAAGACAGCATAATAAAACCCACCAAACACTGTTTGGGAAAAGGGAGGGAAGAAATGGAAATACAGTGGAGGGGATATGTTCAAGGTACACTGTAATATAATTAGCATGTATTATTAACACATGCTAATTCAATAAAAGTAAGATTTACCTGCAGCTTGAGGAAATCCAATGGCTGGGGCAAATCCAGCAGCCCCTGCATATGGTGAAGAAATTATACCTGGTGCACCTAAAAGAGAAGTTAAAATAAATATGCTCCCTCATAGAAACATGCTTTATCAAAGCAATATAAAATGGCTACATTAGAATATGTCATAGACAAAAAGAACAGAATTGTTATAGAATAAATATTTATTCAACATGCGATCCTTAAGAAGTGAGCCTCTGCCACGTCCAGAGGCTAAGTCCTTTTGACTGGATTCAAGGACAAAGAGCTCAGATTAGCTATTTGGACTAGGCTCACATTTTGGCTCTCACTTAGAGCTTTTTTTCCTGTGAATAGTCATCAAATACTTATTAAATTGTACTGTATATACAGGGTGGTGTGTTGATAAAAAGAAATACAAAGCCAGATATGGTGGCACATATCTGTAATCCCAGGCAGAAGGATTCAGAGTTTAAGGCCAGCCTGGGCTACCTAGTGGGACCCGGATTCAAGCAAACAAACAAGAAAGATAAAAACTTTGCCTTCCTGGCTCATGCCTATAATTCTAGCTACTTAGGAGACCGAGGTTGGGAGGGTCACAGTTTGAAGCCAGCCCAGGAACATAGTTTATAAGAACTCATCTCCAAAAAATAACCAGAACAAAATAGACTGGAGGTATGTGGTTCAAGTGATAGAGTGCCTGCTTTGTAAGCATGAAGTTCTGGGATCAAACCCCAGTTCTACCAAAAAGCAAAACAAAATAACATGTCTTTGAGAGTCTTACAAAATAAAAGTATGAATTACAGAGATTCATATGCTGAGGCTCACCCTGTGGTGCAAGTAAGAATGTACTGTAAGTAGACAAAGAAAAAGTAGTCATAGGGATTCACTATAATTGGTTAGAGAAGGTTTCTTTGAAGGTAAGGAAAAGCTTGAGCTCATAATTGAAAAAAACACAGTGCTTAGTATGTACCTGAAGCTAAATAAATGCTAAACTTTTCTTTAGGAAGACTGGTGACTATATCATCAGCAAATGTAGGAGGTAGTTTCAATGGAGTAGCTCTAGTAGAAAAGTCATGAATCTGGTTGAGAACATCTCAATTTTTAGGTGATGGTAAGATATTCAACTAGAAATGCTCACAAGTGAACATACAGATGCAAATTCAGAATAATTATTATAAGCAAACGTGAAGATTTGTAATCATCTGTGTTGAAACAGATTTGACTGAAAACCATAGAAATGAGACGTCACTAAAAAGGGTCCAATAAAAAGAAATGAGAGCTAACATGAAGGGAAGAGGAGGAATGCCCTACAGAAAAGAGTACAGCCTTAGGGAAAAAGAAAAAAAGGTTATTTATAGCAACTAATGATGTAGAGAAATAGTTTCAAAAGAAGAAAAGAAATAAAAGGGTAGATAATGGTTTCAGAGAAAGTGAGAAGTTACATTGCAAAAGTCAAAGGGAGGGTTTTGGTTTTCTAATGATAGGGAGATAAATATTTACAGGCAGAAGTATGTAGACTGTATTTTCCAGAGGAGTTAAAAGTGCATATAATTTTGTTTGCGATGTAGCTGTTAATTATTATAATAATTAAAGAAAGAAATGAGGGGGGGGTTGGGGATTTAGCTCAGTGGAAGAGCTCTTGCCTGGCAAGTGTAAGGCCCTGAGTTCGGTCCCCAGCACCGAAAAAAAAAAAAAAAAAAAAAGAAATGAGGATTTATTACAATATCAATAATTATGACAAAATTAAATATCATTATTAAATGACATATGCCACAGAAGTTTTAAAAGGCATATGGGTTTGTATCAGCACTTTTATTTATGCTCTGTTGTAAGAATACCGTAAGAGTGATACCTTCAGCCTGGGCCCTATATCCAAGATGTATAGAGGGTCGATACCCATTTCACAGTTGTTGACAAGGCATTAGGGGAAAAGAAATGCTTATTGCCAAAAACCACTGATTTGGGAAAGGGGGAGAAAGCAAGTTTTCAAACACAGCAAAGTATGTGTGTTTGAATGGGGAGGGGGCTGAGGCAGAACACTAGCCATGATTTTCGTATATGTTTTTTTCTGGTGGTACCAGGGTTTGAACTCATAGCTTCATACTTGCTAATCAGGTAGTCTACTGCTTGAGCCATGCCTCGAGACCTAATCAAGGTTTTTTTTTTTTTTTTTTTGAGGCAGGGTCTTGCTACACAGCCTTGGCTTGCCTGAAACTCATAATCCTCCTGCTTCCTCCACCTTTTGAGTGATGAGATTACAAGTGAGTACCACCATACCTGGCTTAGCCATAGTTTTTAGAGAAAAGGAAAAATTATTTTTTTTTGGTGGGGGGCAGTACTGGGTTGAACGCACTCTACCACTTGAGCCACTCCACCAGCTCTGTTTTGTGTTGGGTATTTTAGAGATAGGGTTTCAAGAACCATTTGCCTCGGCTGGCTTGGAACTCAATCCTGATCTCTGCCTCCTGTGTGGCTAGGATTACAGATATAAGCCACTGGCACCTGACTGAGAAAAGGAAAATTTTGGGAGAAATATCACAGAACATTTAACAGAAGTAGAAGATAAATAAAAGATACTGGTAAATAAATACCAAAGCTAAATTTTAAGTAATTGTTTCCAAACACATTAAGATTAACAAGTACTGCAGGTGTTTAAATATGACAAAAGAATCATTTATAAAGTTTCTATGAATCTGCAGTCTCCAAATGAGCAGAAATAAAAAAAACATTTTTGTAAAGTAACCTGTTAGACAATAGACTAGTCTTTATTATATAAAGAGATTACACAAACCTTTAAGAAAACGACTCAAGCTTTGAATCACTAAGAAATTTTCCAAATGTAAAGTGTACCATGGTTATAGCTAAGACAATACAAATTAATACATGAGATAACATGTTAGCTATGAAATCAGTTTATCACTCAATTTACAATAGCAAAACTGTGAAGAACTAGCTTAATGTCCAGATTGGAGAATTAGATAAATTATGATGAGTTACTACATCAGAGCCATTTAAAATATTAGAGTATGCACAGTGGTTCCATTTGGTTAGAACAAAGGTAGAAACATCTAAACCACAAATAATAAGTCAACAAGATGGTAAGAAATAATCAGGCCAAAAACCTAACCCTATGAAACTGGGCTTTATTTTTTCAGCCTCTTGTGTTAGTAGACAAGAGGCAAATCCTGAGGTAAACCCAAGGTGAGGAGTCAAGGACAACCTCAGTGCATTATCAACTAGAATAAGCCTAAAATAACCTACCCATCTACTCATTCTCTCCATCCCCTTAAAAGACAAGAAGTTTCCTTTGTGTGTAATAGAAAAGGGAGAAAAGTCCCCGAGAAGTCTAACCAAATGGAAGCTCTCATGAAAATTTGCAGCTCAAATCCACATACCTCAGGAGCATAAGGAAAAACTAATTGAGCTGTGAATTTAGGCTGAAATGATCCCAAATACCCTTTAAGGTTGCATATAAGCAAATTCTTTTTACCTTGACCCTAAGCCACAAAGAACTCTCATAATTAATTCTCCAGGTAAAATGAAAACAAACAAACAAACAAACAGGGAAGAAACATTTAAATAGAAAGACAAGTACAAAGATTCTGGACACTAGAATAAACAGAACTTTTTAATTATAGATTAAAGTTGAAGGGACATTAATGAATTGAAAAGGTAGTCCCTAAGAAACTATTCAGAAGGCAGCTTAGAAAGACAAAGAAATGGCAAATATGAAGGAAATCTGAGACACTGAGAGGACATAGAAGATTTAATGGAACTGGTCAAAGTATCAGGAAGAGGCCACGTGTAGAGATCAACACTTGCAATCCCAGCACTTGGGAGGGTGAAGCAAGAAAATGATAAATTTGAGGCCATCCTGGGCTACACAGCAAAACCCTGTCTCAGAAAACCAAGAACTGGGGATGTATCTCAGTGGTGGAGTACTTGCCTACCAAGTCTGAACCACAACACCACCAATAATTCTTCTCCCCAACAAAACCAAGGTTCCAGAAAGAGAAACTCTAAGGGGGGAGGGGGAAGTATATGAAGGGTAAAATCTAGAATCAAATCAAGAAACCCAGTGATCACTATTCAAACAAATAAAACTAAATCTTTAAATACATACACTCAAATATATTTAAGTATACTCACTCTTTAAATATCAGACTCAAACTACAGGCCACCAAAATGAGAGAAATACCTAAAGAATGGCCAGACAGGATATGGTGGCATGGTTTAAGTGGTAGAGCACCTGTCTAGCAGGTGAGTTCAAATCAAAGTACAGCCAAAAAAAGAAAAAAAATGGTCAGACAATAAAGCATGATAGTTAGATTGACAGCTGACTTTCTAAGAGCAACAATGAAAATCAGAATACCATGGAATATCATTTTAATATACTGAAAGAAACTATTTGTCAACCTAGAACTCTAGTCAGCAAAAATATCTTTTAAAATTCACAACACTGGGAACAGTGGCTCAAGCTTGTAATCTCAGTTACCCAGGAGGCAGAGACTGGAAGGATTATGGTTTAAGGCCAGCTTGGGCAAAAAGTTAGTGAAATACCCATCTCAATCATTAAGCTGGGTATGGTGTGCATGTCTGTGACCCCAGCTATGAAGGAGACCGTAGGAGGAGGGTGACTCCAGGCAAAAACATATGAGAACTTACCTGAAAAAATAACTAAAGCAAAAAAGGGATGGGGGTGTGGCTCAAGCAGTAGAGTGCCTGCCTACAAAGCACAGGGCTCTGAGTTCAAACTCCAGGACTGCCCACCCCTGCAAAAAAAGTTCAAAACAAAATAAAGACATTCTTAAGACAAAAAAAGAAAAAAAAAAAACACTTTAAAATATGTTGCCAAAGACCTTCCCCAAGTAAAATAGTATTTTAAACTCAGGAACAACATGTGTGTTCCCAGAAGCGTGCTGGAGTTGCATGAATGAACAAAAAACCTAGAGTTACATGTGGTTTAACCTAAATGGATAGTTTAAATTAACATTAACAAATAGCAAGATTAAAATTAAATAACTGAAAAATGTATCAATAGCATCATGAGTTTAAAAGAGGCAAAAGGAGTTAACATGTGC